ACTGTAGGTAACAATTAGGTGCACGAACGATCATACATATCATACAGTAGTTCATTTTAATAATTGAATCATGGGTAGATATAATTATTATCATTCTTAATATTCATAGCACATCACATCAACAGCCTATAACCGGCCACTGCTGATCAAAAGGCTCTTCTCGCATGGATAATCACCACGCTTGCACAATGTGGGTGGGAAATCACCATTTCAAACTTATAATTAGAAATTATAAGCCAATGTGTCCTTACGATGTTTTCCTTCACCATTTGTCAGTGGTGTCTAAATGAGCTTAGAAAGTACATATAACTCGGAAAAAGTCACATTGGTATTTGCCGTTGCTATACTCTTATGCATAAGAAGCGGGACATCTTAACCCTACAGTTTAAATTATTGTTCACTTCTAACCAGCCCATCTGAAAGTCATTGGGGAAGGCCTATGTTCAGTAGTGGTCGTCTTGTGGGTAAACCCATAACCATGATGTTTAAAATAAATCTTACAATAGTTTGTAACGGGTTTTGACTATAATATATTGATGTCAAAAATTCATTGGGTTCATTGACTTTCATTGACAATACACATGTCTCTATCTATAGCGGTTAATTGTCAAGCATAAAAAATAAAACTGAATTTGTTAAAAAAAATATGTTAGAATTGATCAGTCTCATTCTACCTACAATCAATGGCAAATTTTATTTTTTTAAAAGTGTATGAACCTACGTCTGAAATAAAGATTATTATTATAAAAATTGCTTTAGCAGTAGGCACTTTTCAATTACATAACATAACATCACACCTTTTATCCCCGATGGGGTAGGCTGTGGTAGATATTAGGTATGAGACGTAATGCCACTGTAAGTACAATGTAACACCCACTTTTCACTATAAAAAAAACCCAGTAATTGAGCCCGACCCGGGAATTGAGCCCGAGACCGCTTGCCCGGCAGTCGCACTTGCAACTAACGAGTAATAAATTCACTAAATAAGTACTAAGATGACATAAGTTCTTCAGAGCTCATGAATAGATTTAGATGGGCCTAGATATCTATACAATCTTTCTGTTCTATACAAAATTTCTTCTTCCATATAGCCTTTACGACAGTTATTATTATGGCGGCCTAGTGTCAATGACCTTAGGCCACTTAGGATCCAGTTTAGAATAGTCAAGGACATCCACCTATCAGAGGTACCTACCTACCTGCCTACAATTCGTGAAATAGCATCTAGCTAGCATTTAAACTAAAATGTGAGTAGTCTTGGTATCATTTCGGAATTATACGCGTATTCTAGTTTTACATCGTTTACTCAGTGATAAAAAGATTGTGGTTTTTTTGAGTAGGGATAAGATAATCATCAATTGCCTCCTCCCGCACTGGGGTGGCATGAGCGAATACCACTGCGTCAGACTCTTAATGAAATGACTAAAAACGTTCCCAAACCTGTTCCGAGCTGAGCCACACGGTAATTTATTGTGCTTCATCCATCCATTCATCAGACAAGCCCGCCCGAACCTCCCAAAACCGCTGCAACTCCTGTAAGCCAAGATCCACAGTAGCTACAACTATGCAAACACCGGAACACTGAAGTCCGGCGCGTCCCAGGGACATGACTAACTGTCTCGGTTCCCGAAACGAAATAAATCAGATGATATTAAAAGGAGAAGAAAAAAACCCTTAAACTTAAAGGCATTCCTAAGGGTTTATTAAACCAGGGCGTTATAATGGATTAATTTCGAATTTTTTTGTATAAATATCAATAAAACTAAAATCCAATATAAACGGGGGTTACTATAGTTTTGCTCAAAAGATGGCGCTGGCTCTCATTTTTCGTCCAAAGCAGGCGTAGGAACGGGGTGGTTTTTAGTCAGTAAGAGTCTGACACTCCCCCTCCCGCCTCACCCAGACGGGAGCAGTCATTCGATGATTTCCCCCCCCCTGAAGACTGTTTTTATACATACGTGCAATGTGACAGATATCATAAAGGAATTTAGCACGAAGATTTCCGCAATACCAATACCAGGACCAGGGGCATGCTAATGCATGCCCCTGGCCCTGGCACTTGGCAGGCAGTTTTTTATTTACTTGATAAATTATGCTTGTCCATCGATTACTTACAAGATACTTACATATTACTTAGACATTACTCGCTATTTATTATTATAGACTGCCTCGTTGGCAGAGTGGTCGCAAGTGCGACTGCCGGGCAAGGGGTCTCGGGTTCGATTCACAGGTCGGGCAAAGTATTACTGGATTTGTTAAAAAATCTCAGTAGTAGCACGGAGTCTGGAACTGTGCCCGGTATATGGCAATAGGCTCACCCCCTATTACATGGGACTCATAACATAAAAGGTGAAAAGTGGGTGTTACATTGTACAGTGGCATTAAGTGCCGTAATGTGCACCTTTGCCTACCCCTTCGGGGATAAAAGGTGTGAAGTTATGTTAATGTTATTATTATTAAGTTTCGTGTTTAACCTATTAATAAAAAATTTAAAATTGTACCATGCCTGCTTTTTTATGTAAAGGCCCAAAGGCTGTTAGTAATGATAACGATAAAAATCAAACATTGAAAATATTTATATTAACCTTTATTACAAAACGATATAGTTGCATCTAAGTATTTATTTACTCACTACACGCGCGGTTTCACCCGCTCCTCTCAGCTCGTATTGATTGTACCGTGATGTTATATAGCCTATAGCCTTCCTCGGTAAATGAACTATCCAACACAAAACTAGTTATTCAATTCGGACCAGTAGTTCCGGAGATTACAGCGCTCAAACAAACAAACACTCTTCAGCTTTAATCTAGTACCGACTCCGTACTGCTTGGTAAGCAGCCTAAGATGTTATCCTTATTATGTTTCTACGTAACTTGCACAACATGAATGGTTTAGTTATTTATTGTTTTATGGTAACAGTTAGTATAAATAGACGAACACTATGATAAGTAAAATATGTTTTCTAGATTCGTATAGGAACCTATAATATGTATCTTAATCATAAACGTAGTAAGCAGAGGTAAACATTCATACACCGTGAAATCTATTTGGTTTTCATCCCGAAGTAAAATGGCTTTGTAATACAGTAGTTTTAAAAAGAAATAAATTGTTTAAAATAAAAAATAATCGTTGAACCATTGCAAAGAATAAACTCCGAAAGTGCATATGAACTAATTCTTTATATAATGTACATTATATAAAGAAAGAAAGAAATAAAAATAATTTATTCTCCACCAGGCATGGACCACCGAATATGAACACATAAAATAACATTGAAAAACAAAAATAAAAAAAACAATAGGCACACAAAATAACATTAAAAAAACAGCAGTAAAAAACAATGAAGGCAAAAAACATTATAAAAAAGCATTACATCAAAACATGACGCCATGTAATTCTCGAAAAGGTATTTCTCGTCGGGTAGCACGTGGGATGCGAATAGTGCCCTATTTACGTCTAGTTTTTCATGCGCGTATTTCCATTAATATCGCATAAAAAAATTTCAGCTAAAAAAAGTGTACCTATCTTTTTGTTTTTAGTTTGTTTTGACGCGAGTCAAAAATTAAATAGAATTCACGGTGTATAAACAATGTAACACCAGTTATGTTACGAGTCCCTTGTAATAGGGGTTGAGATCATTGCCATAATATTAGAGGCCTCAGAAATGGTCTCAAAAAACACTGCCCAGCCTTGCTCACCCAATGACACAAAGGGTTTGTTGTCCAATCATTGTAGCTTTCGGTTTTCTACCGGATACATATCGGTGAGTGTGCGGGCGAATTGCACAACTTGATTTCCTCTAGTCCTTTCCATCATCGTACCACAAGACAGTCGGTAAAGCGTCACCAATTCATGGTAGATGTCCCACCCACACGCACGAAGCGCTACTGCTAAGGAGGCGAATTCTTTGCCAGAGTCTGTACTTCATGATGGGTATCTTCAAGGCCCGAGTGAATAGCTTGCTTATGGGACGACGTGCTCTATCGTAGACCGCGTTATCGCTTACCACCAGGCGAGATAGTGGATAGTTAGCCCATCAATTATAAAAAAAATACCAATGGTGTGGCTCTAGATAACGCCCTATTGGACGAAAAAACGAAAGGATCACACTAGCTCCATCTGGGGAACAAAAAAGATAAACAAAAAAGTCCCCTGTGCGTCTATTGGACAATCCAAACAGTCAATTCGAAGTCGATAGGTAATAACAACATGTCAATTAAACACATAACATAACATCACGCCTTTTATCCTCGAAGGGGTAGGCAGAGGTGCACATTATACCACTGTACAATGTAACACCCACTTTTCACTATTTATGTTATGAGTCCCATGTAATAGGGGGTGAGCCTATTGCCATATACCGGGCACAGTTCCAGACTCCGTGCTACAACTGAGAATTTTTAAAAAACCCAGTAATACTTTGCCCGACCCGGGAATCGAACCCGAGACCCCTTGCCCGGCAGTCGCAATTGCGATCACTCGGCCAACGAGGCAGTTAACATATGAACAAAATAGTAAATAGCTGTCAGTTATTTATGAATGGTAATACATGCAGTAACAGAGACAATGAATCATTTAAATGTGTAATTGTATCGGGGTCACTAATGAACTTGTTGTAATTAATGGTGTAACAATTGACACTATTTTTAATTACGTTAATGATTTATCTGCTTAGTGTCGCAGCATGACTGCTAATCAAAATGTTGAACGTTTAAACCCTGAACACTGTGTTCAAGAGGTTTAATAACAAAACTTACAATTAAAAGTATAACATTAGATCTTTTAAAATTATTTTCTCTATCTTTACCTACCTTTTCTTGAAAAGTCAGGATATTTTTGTTGTAATTTAGCTTATGTAGGTATGTTAATAGGTAGGCACTTACGTTTGAATTATCGATAGGCTACCGACCTAGGTACCCGACTTAAACCTAATCCTTACCTCTTTCACCTGACAGCAGCAACTATTAAAATATTCCTAACTTGTCTATTGTTCCAGAAAAATGGCTATAAAAGGAATATCCTTAGAAGACGAGTACAAGAAGAACACAGGTACCACTCCAGAAGACATCAAGAAGTTACGCGACTGGCTCAGCACACAGCCTCATCTACCTGGAGAGTGTATCACAGGTAAGGTTAGATTGATTAAAAACGATACTAACGCCTAGCGCCTAGCGCCTAGCGCCTATTTATTTTAAGAGATTTCAGAATCAGGCTTCCTATGATTTGCCTTACGGTTGGTACGGTGGCTGGGCAATCGTCTACCGCGCAACGTTTGCGGGTTGATTTCCCACACGAAGCAATTCTTTGTGTGATCCGCCAATTATTATTTCGGGTCTGGATGTCATGTGTATGTGAACTTTTATGTTTGCAAACGCACCCATGACACAGGAGAAAATCAAAGGGCAAGGTTTAAAAAAAAAGGTGCTTCTTTATTATATCTGTGGTGATCCATGTTACCATTAAACTTATGTTCCTTTTCGCTAATCTCTTTGGGGACTAGGAGGTATAATGTTAGGTACCTACTAAGAAGTTTTTTCTATGGTCTGACTATCTTTATAAGTACATAGTTATTTGTTGCCATAATCATTTATCATCATCGCTTATAAATTATGTACATATTGTAAGCATCGCTTATAAACAGCGCGCCCCTCAAAGAATTAATGAATGAATAACGCAATAAACCTGTGGATATGCAAGTTGTAATTTATTTTTTTAATTAAAGATTTATGCGGATTTTGTACAGAAATGTAACGTTGTATATTTTATCTACTAAAGGCACACCGGGTTTTTATATTTATTTTCCTTACAAATGTTTAGATATCCTTGTAATTAAATAAAAGTCGCCTATGCACCAGTAGGTACCACCTTCTTATGTGCTCGACATTCCTATGTAACAGATACTTCATACAAATTACGTCGTCCATGATAGGTACCTATAGCTAAGTACCTAATAAAACATTATACAGATAAATACACACTCATGAATCTCTGGAATGGTTGGATCGATTTTGTCCGGACTTTTATTGGCAATTAGCTGATGTACTAAGGAGTGGGCATGGGCATAACATATTGTTATTTTGTAAAATTGAAACAAATAAAGGTTATGTCCTAGAAGTCATATTCTACGCGGGCGAAATCGCGGGCAATAGCAATAGCGTACACCATATAAATAATAATTACCTAATAACCCAGTTAACTATACAAATACCTAGGTACATAGACATAGAATAAACAAACAGTAGCTGAATAAATAACCCATACTTACATATTTACTGTCACTCCTTCCCATGTACCTTACCCAGTCAGTATAAGCATTATCTAATTAGATGATAAAATAATTAGGTACCTAGAGGCCAAGGAAGTTATGTTAATGTCACCTTATTATATCCAGCCTTGATCTGCGCCATTTTTTGTACCATTTAACTAACTCGACACTTGTTTAAAAATGACAAAAAACATGTTTACCTTAATGCAACTGAGATATTAGTACCTACTTATGTTCAATGCATTCGATACACATACAAACAATGCAATCATCTTTAATTAATCTAATTGCTACTAAGTATAATCATTATAAGCGTTATTTTTTACCAAGCAACGTTTAGCTACTCAACACTCATGTACCAAAGTTAATATTTATGCCTGACAAGTGATAGACCTACTAAATACTTACTCACTAGTAGCCTAGATTTATTCGACTAAAATACTAGCGTACTGTAAACCCAGCATTAGGTTCTCTGGAATATTACTGCTCGACATTCGATGTAATCTCTACAATAGGATAGGTACTCAATTATCTAGAGACACAGTGACACTACAGTTCTGTATAATTTATCTAATAATAGCTAGCTATTTATTGCATTTACAATTGCGGAACAACGCAATAATATTGCTTTTAAATATCAATTTAAAACACATTATTTATGCTTATCTGACAAAAAATCTAAGCATATTACCTATAAACACTATATGCATAATCATAGGACTACACTTACTATAAGTACAGTGGCTGGGCGACCGTTTGTTGCGCAAGGTGTAGCGGGTTCGATTCCCACACTGAACAACTCTAATTGTACTTTGTGTGATCTACTATAATAATTGTTTTTTTATGAGATAAGCCGGTAAACGGGCAGACGGATCACCTGATGGTAAGCAATCTCCTTCGCCCATGGACATCCGAAACACCAGATGCGTTACAAGTGCGTTACCGGCCTTTTGGGCATTAGGAGTTTGAGGATTGTGGGGGATTCGCGGATTGGGGAGACTGGGGAAGGGGGTAATTGGGCTTCCGGTAACCTCACTCCCACGACGAAACACAACGCAAGCGTTGTTTCACGTCTGTTTTCTGTGAAGCCGTGGTATCACTCCGTTCGAGCAGGGCATTCGTGCCGAAGCATGGCTCTTGTTCCGAGTCTAGGTGTAATGTTGGTAAAAAGTGAAGTTTTGTCTGAGTAGGTAAACCCAAATGTTAAGACTATCAAACTTACAATATTAACAAGACCAATTTTAATCGTTATTTATTTTGGTACACTAGTCTAGGTAAACGTGTTTTAGTATCAGGTGTAGGCACCAAGGATTCTGACTTAATGAGCCAATCGCGTACTACTTAAACATTTTTTGTCCGATCAGGTTTTTTTTGTAAACAGGTACTTATGTACTTTTTGGTTGTGACCTTTAAGTTACTTTTTATAATTACCTTAAAATAAATACATACACAACACAGACAAATAAACATAGTCTCCGTTAATTAAGGCTTTGTTTGTTATGCTACAACGTATAAACGGCTATACTGTTTTTGACGAGGTTTGGTAGGTGCAGGAGACTGATTCTTCAGTCACAAATATTTAGTTTTTATGACTCTTATTGTGATGTAATTAAACTTGGTTCCTTTTTGGCTGTGTCGGTTAATGACACTTGACTGTACCTACTTAAGAGTGCATGTATTCGACAAGCAAAACTATTTAGTAAGTTTGCAATCAGTATGCCAGTCAGCCAGTATTGTATGCCAACTTGCCAAGAGAAGTGCCTATCACTTCGCTACATCTATTGTTGCGCGTCCATTTTGTAATGTTCAATTCATTATGGCTTCCTACCTAACTTGAATCTAGATTACGGAACATTGATGCTTCAAGTTTATTTGTTTATTAGTATAAGTTGGACCTAAATCAATAGCTTGAGACAGTCCAATCTTAGACTAAGGGTCATTTGCAATAGGTAATCTCCACGCTTGGTAGGCGAGTCACGGCTAAAAAAGTTTGTTAGACAGTAATCGCTAACCCGCATTGAGCAGGCGTGGTCAATCCTTCTCCGCGTGAGAAGAAGCTTTGCTCAGCAGTGGACACCTATAGGCTGTTGATGATGATGATGATGAGGACAGTGCTGCCGCTTGACAGTGCCGCGCCGTCTCTGTTAGGTACATATGAAGTGCCTTAATCCTTTTTTTATAGGATACTAGCGTTTACCCGCGGCTTCGCTCGCGTCACAAAAGGATAAAAAGTAACCTATGTGACTATCCATCCGTTCAACTACCTTCACTTAAAAAATCACGTTAATTAGTACCTCCGTTCTGCCGTTTAAGACAGGCAAACAAACAAATAGCTTTCCGCTCGCGTGGAATTCGGTTATATCGCGCTATTTACATTTTACCAATAAGTAGGTAATTCGTTGACTGGTTTTAAATGACATACAACGCCATGTATACCAGTACATACAGCGCCATCTATACCAACATTTTTGTTTTTCCTAGGAAATATCATTTTCCAGGATAAAAAGTACCCTATTATTTAATCCAGACTTCTAACTTTACGTCTGCAAAATTTCAAAGCAATCGGTCTAGTAGTGACGGCGTGAAGGTGGAACAAACAAACAAACAAACAAACAAACTCACTTTCCGATTTATAATATAAGTAAGGAGTAAGGAAGCAAGGATGGTAAGCGAGCAGACGGATCACGTGATGGTTAGCAATCGGCGTCGCGGAATGTATAATGCAATGTACACTGGGAAGGGTGTAATTGGGCCTCCGGTATCCTCATTCACACGACGAAACACAACACAAACGGTGTTTCACGTCGGTTTTCAGTGACGCCGTGGTATCACTCCGGTCAAGCGCACCGATTCTTACCAAAGCATGGCTCTCCCACACTTAAAACGACACTTACATCATCCGCGGGAGGAGTAGGGGTAGTGACAATAAAATTGTAGGTATTCTACTCTAGGTACTACCTAATATTTGCTCGTCAGCTGAGGATCCATGTCCATGTCCGGTGAGGACCTGCGTCAGGCGGTAGGTGAGGACGCCGTAGCGTCTCTCAAGCCACTCCTCAAAGAGAAGACTTACCGCTGCAATGCAAATTCTCCGTTGGTCCGAATACTCACCATGCTCAATTCTCTCCTGATGTCAGCACCAGAGTGTGATTTATTTGCAATGAGATCGATAGATGTGTGTCGTGAATGTTTAAGATTTTGTGAGGATGAATGATACGTAGCTAATTATAATATTAACTCGTCGAGTATGTACCGGTTTTATGGACACAATTAAAGAACAATAGGTCGCGGTCACCGGTGACCGCTTGGTGTTTGACAGTTTAATGTTTGTGTCAAGTTACAATTACTATAATTTCCAAATTTTGATATTCAATTGTAGTTTTTTTTGTTAATTTTGTTTCTGAATTGTATTAATTTTTATTTCTTATATTTAATTACCCAATTAGTTTGTTTTTAAGTACCTAAATAACAGTATTTATGTAATATTAACAGTATAAGTTAATGGCGTAAGCTGTAGTGTTATATATTATTATGTAAATTTTCTAAATAAATATTAAAATCGCTTATTTAGGCGAAGAAAAGTTGTTTTTAGCTTCATCTTAAATCTCGGTTTCCTACATTTTCCAGATCTGGACTTGATTCTGATCTATCATTGCTGCGACCACAGCGCGGAGGTGTCCAAACAAGTGCTGGACCTGCATTACACACTGCGGACGCTGTTCACCAACTTCTTCAAAGATAGAGCCGTCGATAATAAGACAGAAGATAATCTTCATAATGTGTAAGTGTCTACCAAAACCCATGGACTAATACTAAGTACAAATTGCTTTACGAGCTGTTAGGTAGGTACAAAGCACCTCCCTAGGGTGGTACCGTAACAGGCGTTGCACTGGGGGCGCCGGGGTATGTCTGTTAGAGTACCTGGTGTTAGAGCTGGTTTAAGTGAGGTAAAAAATGTAAAAATCCCACTCCCTAGTCTTTTATCCCCAAAACCAAGGCGCCTTTGGAAGGTTTCCCCCCGTCATATAAAAAGTACAAAGTACCTAGTAGTAAGAGCTGCACATTTGACAAAGATCCGGCAGCAACAGCAACGCTTTGAAGCAGCTGTTACTTACCTGCCAAGCGTAGAAGCCTATGGCAAACCTCTTAGTCTTAGGCAGGTATGTAGAAGCCCACAGTTTAACACTAGCAGGTGAACTATCACGGGCAGTCATGTTAATGAATCTAAACATGGTGGTCTTTATTCCAGGTTACTCCAACCGCTCCCCACGCGGTCAATAAATGGCGACGCTGTATTCTACTGCCGGTTGTTGGACTACGAGCCAAGAAACTTCGAATTCGCCAAGTCACTCAGGTTTGTAGATATTATCGACCTTATGACCGCAACGTTATAATGTTGAAAATGCATTGACTATTCAAATAGCTGAATTTGAATACCTCTTAACTGTAATTTTTTATCATTATAGGTCAGTGCTAATGATCCTAGACTTATGGCAGTTCGAAGAGGGCACGTGGCCAGGGTTCGTGCTGATCTTCGACCTGGACGGCCTCAAGCTCGGACATCTTACCAAGCTAGATGTTCAGACTATTCAGCAGTTCTTGTATTATTTGCAGGTAGGGTCATTCATAACATGAAGTAAATACAAAGGATAAAAATGTATTTAGCTTTAGCAAACCAATTTTGTAGTAGTATGGTCTCTTTTACCAATTTAAGATATACCTAACTACAAAAAGGCATACTAGGAGTACAAGTAGTTCAGTAGAACTGACTACAATAATGAAAACTACAAAAAATATAAGTAGGTATTGGTTTTCAAAGAATGTACCAGACTGGTATTCAACTAGGTTTTGGGAACAATGCATTACGATAGCGGCTAATTTCTATAGGAATTTAGTGATTTTTATAAACTGCAGTTTTTCCTTCACAATAATTAACCAATAATATCACTTTACAGGAAGCTATGTTGGTAAAGGTGAAAGGGCTCCACTTCCTAAACGCGCCATCATTCATGGACCGGCTGATGATGATGATCAAGCCGTTCATGAAGAAGGAACTGCTGGAAGTTCTAACCATACATCAGATCGGAGCCAAGACCTTGGACAAGTATGTCCCGATGACTGGCTTGCCGAAAGAAGCAGGCGGAGAGTTCAAGACGTTCAATGAGTGTAGAGGTAAGTGGAGCATAGAAGTCGTTACGTAATTTAGCTTGTAATCATATTATTTAACCATTTAGAAGAAATCTATGCTTTGGGACGAGTGTCTAGAGATCGATAATAAATTTGCTACAGCACTTTGGTGAATTACTAATGGCTAGTTGCTTTGATTTTATTTTTAAAGCAGCTGCAGCTGAACATTATTCGCCGTACATACTCGTGACTCCCAATCATGTTATGTAACTTTCTTCATTACTAACTGAAAAGTAGATTCCATCAAATAACAATAGTGAGTTATGTTCTAAGAGGCAAAATAAGTCTTTATACCTATAAGATATATCTTTATATATTTTCAAGGACATGACATTGTTTGATTTCAGATGAAATGCTAGCCAGACTAAAAGCAAACAAAGACTTCTTTGTCCAAGAGAACAAGAAACGAGTGGTGGAATCCAAGCGACCGGGAAAGCCTAAGACCATCTCCGACATATTCGGTAGTGTGGAGGGATCCTTCAAGAAACTCGACATCGATTAAACTTAGAAAAACTAATTTAGGATCTTAACTATAAAAAAAACAATGCACTATTAAATAGTGTTTAAACTGTCAAACACCAAGCGGTCACCGGTGACCGCGACCTTTTGTTCTTTAATTGTGTCTATAAAACCGGTACTCGACGAGTTAAACTTAATCTTTGTTGTGGCCATTAACCATATTACAATAAAATTGTGTTAATTTTATGGTGTTTTTAATTACTGGTGTTTATAAATAAAAATCCAAAAACGTTTATTTAGCAATATATTTCATAGAAATATAAATGCTGACATTTTACGCTTAAACCATAGAAAATGGAATAACGACCAGCGCCGCGCGAGCTGAAACAACAATAAGGACAGAGTTATTGCTTGAACTGTTGGAAAAATAATAAAGTTATGAAAAGAAATACATCAGTTAGGGTGATTAGCAGCAAGACTTTCAGTCGAAAGATGGTGTTGTTTGAAATCATCATTTAAAAATAAAGAAATATTATTTATTTAAGAATTAATTAACTAATTAATATTTAAAATGTATCAACTAGTCTCAGTTATACAGTTTCCATTTAAGTTTGTTAACTTTACAAAATAATCCTACAATTTTTTTTGCCAAAAGTAATCTAGTTCTAAAAGTAAAATAATTTTTGTAACTCACCTGCGAAGTGCATTTAGTCAAACAGACCGAAGCCCATGTCCTCATCTTCTGATTCGGACTCCTCCTTCTTGGTCTCCTTCTCTTCTGCAATGATAAGAGAGTAAGTTAGTACAGAGCGGAAGGTGAAATAATGTATGTATTGGAATAGACGTGTCAGTAATGGTAGATAGCAGCACAGGCTGTCAGTCGAAAGATGGTGTTGTTTGAAATCATCATGGAAATGTGGAGATGAACTTTTAAGTCCTATTGGTATTTAATAGTAAATTAAGTTGACAATGTTTAATTATCTAAAAATTACTATCTCTTTTTTCTTCAATTAAAATGGTCTCCCAGCTCACAAGTGTAAGCACATAACATGGATGATAATAAGTTCGAGTAGATTTTTAAATAAAACTTTAATAGCTTCTATGGACCATATTTTTTATATTTAATGGGTTGACCGTTGTGGCCAGTGCATACAAAAGCACTTTGTCTAATGTGAACACCTATCCCTATAAGAAATGCAGAAAGATTGGTTGAATAGATGTAACATACCCTTCTTCTCCTCGGCGGCAGCAGCAGCGGGCGCGGCGCCACCAGCGGCCGCTGGGGCGGCACCTCCAGCCGGCATGGACGACAGCTTCTCACGGCCTAGTTAAATTCATAATCAGTTATTGGCTGATGATGATCAAAAACTAATTTAATCACTGGAATTTGTATTGAGTCATAGGTGAATCTATCAACTCATAAGTATCAACTAGGTAGTAAGCAATCTAAATTGTGATACAAAACATTAATGATGCTTATAGTACTTTAATGTATACTGACAAATTGAGTAAGTAGATTCATTTCTCAAAAATAACTTTTAAACTCAAATGTCGACCTCTCGATTACCACTATATTTTGAGAGAATAGATTTAGATTTAAGTAAATCAACATTGCCCGAAACATACAATTTCATATACACATGATATCCTGATTCGGAACAAGAATCAGTGAATCACACAAAGAGTTGTTCTGTGCAGGAATTGAACAATACAAAACGAATAAATGAAAAAAACAGTATTTCTACATCCCAGCAGACTAGTTTAGAGTGTAGAAGGAATGTTACATTTAACATGTGCTTTTGGCTTCCTTTGCAGACAATAAAATTAATAATCAAAGCTTACCTTGCTCGATCAGCTCCTCAACGCTCTTGCCATTGAGCTCAGCGATGACCTTCTTGAGCTTCTCACCGTCAGCCTCAATACCAACAGAGCTGAGGATCTTCTCTACGTCCGCTGCTGCTGGGGACGCCTTGCCACCGAGCACAGCCAGTAAATACGCGGCCACGTAACGCATTCTGGTAATAAAATCATAGATTAATAAGCGCTAAGATATAACTAACAGTAAATAATAAGTACCTTGAAATAAAAGTATTGACAACAAATAATTTTACAGTTAGTTATCAGAGACACATTTTTCAATAGTAGCTATGCATTTGTTTACTTGTGATTTGATGCATCTTAAAATAATGATGATATCAACTTGGCAGTGTATTTTAGCAATAATATTACACACGACGCTACTAATAGGTACTTGGAAAGTTCCAATGTGTACTTCAGGACAGAGGATATGCACACTCAGATATGCATACATACTTTTAGGTTAGGAATCTACATCGAAGTCAAAGGTTGTTAGATACAGATTTTAGTACTTTTCAATTAACAAATTGTTTGCTAGTAAATGAAAAGCGTGGAGAACAATGTACCAGGTAATTAATTATGTTGGTATAATAACTTGAATAGAAAGAAATCATTACCAAATGCGACATGACAACAATGTCAACACATGGTTCCAAGTTGTGTAAATTTTGTTGGGAATGACTAGAATAAGTGAAATACCTGGGTTTGGTTCAGGAGGAGACATTTTACAATTAAAATAAGTGTTATATGATGGGTATATGACTCTTGAACACACTAGAGACTTAGCCGCTGAAAGTGCAAGTCCAGCGCGCGTTACCAAAATCCAAGTTGATCACACAATATACACTGCCATCGTGCAATTAAACATATCTCACATATTGCTAGTACACAAAACATTATAATCACATTAATATTTTAGAATTAACACTTACTTTTAAGTCGCTTTGACACGAAACGTGTGATGCCGAAAAATAAACGTTCGTCTTGAACAAAATGTCAAGAGGAAAGAGGGCGGGGACAGCGGGGAACTGTCGTCAAGTTTGACAGTTTATGCTGAAACGTCACGTAGTGTTGGGCTATTTAGGCGATTTTTAAATCGATTGTGATTATCGATTTTGACAATTTTTATATTTTGTAGCCAATTAAAGTAAAAACACGTATTCGTAAAATTTTAATCATATTTGTATATCTTTGTACAGTTTTTATAAAAACAGCGTTATTTCAGAAGCTCACAGTATTATCAAAAATATTATCTTTTGAGGACAGTTCTAATTTTAATATTACAGATGAGATAATTGACACATAAATAACTTTTAATTTATGTTTATTACTCGACGTTCAGTTATTATAGAATTTACATTATTTAGTAAGAATTCTAAAATGTCTAGTTCATGAGTTCAAACTTGAACCGGTAGATAGCGTTACTTGTACCACAAGATAAAGTTATAACACTATCATCACAGCTATAATTTGTCGAAGTGGTGAACAGTGTATTTTTTAGTATCAACATTTAGGTACTTGTCATCAGTTATCTTTCATTGTTGTAACAAAAAATTTTGTCTGTGCTTAAAAATTATATGCTCGGTCGTCAAAGGAAGAAAAAAATTTATATGTAGGTAAAGCTAAAACTTTGGCTAATGCCAATGTACAATTTGTTTTACCGTCAACCTCTGTAAGCTTATTAATCAATCAACAGCTCACTACAGTATTGTACCTACATCGTTATGAATTTGCTTCGCAATTGTTTTAAGTGTAGGGAAATACAAAGAAACATCCTGGAATAATAATAATATATTGAAGTGTGGGAGAGCCATGCTTCGAGACGAATAGGCCGGTTCGACCGGAGTGATACCACGCGTGTAACAACGCTTGCGTTGTTTCACGTCAGCTTATGCTATAGAAAAACGAATGTACCACTGAATATCTCTTGATGAAAGTTAAATATACCTTTGCAAACACATCTTGTGAAATAAAAGGTAAACTCATTGATTTAAAGCGGGAAGAATATTAACTGCACCATAATTAATCATCATCATCATCAACAGCCTATAAATTGCTACAGCTGAGCAAAGCCCCTTCTCACACGAAGCAGGTTTGAGCATTAATCAGTACTGTTTTTATGATTGTACCTAAATGCAACAAAACCCAAAAATAAAAATGACTGCACGGTTGGTGCGGTGGCTGGGCAACCGGCTGCCGTGCAACGTGTCGCGGGTTCGATTCCCGCACGGAACAACACTTTGTGTGATCTACAAATTGTTGTTTCGGGTCTGGGTGTCATGTGTATGTGAACTTGTATGTTTGTAACGCACCCACGACACAGGTGATAATCCTAGTGTGGGGCAACGTTTTTTTTAAGAAAAAAAATAAAAAATAAAACTATTGTTTTTCTGTCACTGGCTTTGTCCGTGTTCCCGTGACTAAAAAATAATAATGTCTATGTGCATGTTCCACACCCTAATCTACTCCTGTTCCAAATTCCATCTCGATGTCTTCCGCCGTTTTGACGTGAAGGAGTAACAAACAAACAAACATGCGAACTTTCTCATTTATTACATTAGTAGGATATATGTGCCTGTTGTGGTTCTTTCCTCAAAAGGCCACTACAGAAAGAACTTGCACGGTTCTCACACGTAATCTTTTTATACATATTTGTCTGGACTTTAAAAGAGACAGACCTCTGAGTTTGTTTCGGCATTTCTTCTCAGAGTAGTCAGTTAGGAAATGTCGACCTCATCGTTCGCTTGATAAAATTGACGTGTAAAAGTGCTGCCTTGTAGCCTATTTGCAGAAATAAATTCACTTGTTTCACTAACCAATGAAAACTGCAGTCATATTTCATAAAAAATCAAAAATTAAAAGTACTTTACCTTTTTACGCCTAAATTGCCAAATCAATTTTGTTTAAATATGGCAATGGCAATTAAAGTCATTTTCATGCCCAGATAAAATCCGCAAGGATAATTTGGTAGTTTTAAAATAAATAATAAAGTTTTAACTAGTGCGGGTGAGGCCGCAGGCAAAAGGTAGCAATGAAGTCAATTAAAACATGTTTAGGCATCCCTACTTGTACTTTGTTATGGATGGCTGAAGGCAATCATTCCATTGAACATACCGTGGGGTAATCCCAAATTACAGATAAAAATACTCAGAACAAAAATAAAACACAAATAAAATGGAAGACATTTGTTGGTTTTATTTGCTTTATTTACACAACGTATTTACAATTTCAATATTTACACGTTTCATGTTGCTTTTACTTTTTTAATAATCATGTTTCAGTATGGAATAAAATTTTATTGGACATGGGATTTGGATAGGTATTACGGTATTGTGATACAGATAAACAGTATACAATTATTAAGAACAGAAAACTTGTATAGTAATAGTAACATACGTCGTATTTTACCTACCTGAGTTAAAAGTCTAGTTTATCAGTCATCCATGTTACGGATGACAGTCATGATAATCCATAAATCAATTAGGCATAAAGCTCATAGCCTATAATGCAGATGCCAATCGCATGTCAATGCCGACAATTCGCTCCAAGCAATGCGTATATGCGCCTAGCATAATGCGGGCATAATGACCTGCCTGATTTAAGTCAACAATACTAATAGTCCTGCTATATTTAGCAGTCTGGACATAGTTACTGATGCTGACGTCATCTCATTTTCTGTCTGAACAGGATTTCGCAGAAATTGCATTTGGTTTTGCCCTGAAAAAATGAAAATGTTATTAGGTCATCGTTCTCATTTTTCGTAGTAGTTTTCCTTATGAATCTAATGAAACTGCGGATTTGGTCACATCGGCTCTTCTTTACTAATTATCTACATGACGAACATGACTTCTACGTAGAGTAAATGTTGGCAATTGACGAGTAGGTCCAAGTCATCATATTTGATTATAGGTTCGGAAAAAATTAAGGTTTTCTTAGGTATTATTATTCTTCTTTTAAAGATGTTAACTTTTTTTGTTTTTATGGATTAAGAGGCAAACGAGCTTACTAATCACCTGATGGTAAGCGATCAGCGCCGCCCATGGACACCCGCAACACCAGAGGAGTAACAGGTGCGTTGCCAGCCTTTTAAAAAAGAATACGCTCTTTCCTTGAAGGTTGAAGGTCGTATATAGTATGTATACAATATATATTTATACAGCAATATATAAACTTACAGTTACATTGTACAGTTACTTGTATCTACATCCTATAGATGAAATGACATGAAAATTATAGTTAACACAAGTGAATAGCGAAAATTGAGCAGCCAACCAAATACATATATTAATATTAAAATATTAATTTAATTTTGTTGAACACAGAGTTTGCATCGGATATTTTCTAAAATTGATGGTTCTAAATGAAGTTGGGTCAATGATACGAAATAATGCACTAATCACAATAATTTCCTGATATTAAACTATTTCGGGAAATGAATGTTGCGATTAGAAATTCATGTTAATTGCAGTTCATATTACTGGTACAAAATATACTGGGTATTCATTGTGCTGTTGTGTCCAAATGCAATTGATTTCGAATATTTAATAGTAATTGTATTGTCCAACTATTCATAGAATTAATTTGTTATAACGTAGTGTTTGATTGTGTCTCGGGTAGGTATTCATTTCTAAATTGCTTTGTATTACACATGCACAATAAATAATCGTATCTGTTTTACGAAGTAGAAGATTCTCAAGTTAATAAAAAAATAACAATTTAATGAATTATCTATAAATCATAAAGATAGTTTAGGGTCGTTTCAAGTACCTAGTAAATTATGACTCATTTATTAAATAACTATTTACCGAAAAGTTAGAATCAATACCATGTTTTTATAATAACTATCGTGAGACATACTAAATTAACTAAAAATTGCGGGTTACTCACGTGAATATACTGAGAAAAGCTCTACTAGTTTCGAACCACAGAGGGGTTCTTCCTCATGAGCAGCGTGCGCGGTCGCGGCGATGTCGCGCAGCCTACATCGCCGTTCACGTAAGAAATCCGCGATTTTTACTTTTTAGTTAAAATTAATACCATCATATCTTTCCCTAGGCAAAGATCAGTTATAACGTCATACTAAAGAAATGAAAAGAATTTCCAACCAGACGCAGCATTATCTAAAATAATAGAGATAAACCACCAGACTGGCCGGAC